TACTACTACTACTACTACTACTACTACTACTACTACTACTACTACTAGTACTACCACCACTACCACCACCACTACTACTACAACAACTACTACTACTACTGCTACTACTACTACCACGACTCCTGCTGCTGCTACTACTACTACCACTAGTACTGCTGCCGCTACTACTACTACTGCTGCTGCTGCTACTGCTACTGCTACTAGCTATTGCTGCTCCTGCTACTACTACTACTGCTACTACTACTACCACTACTACTTCTACTACTACTACTACTACTACTACTACTACTACTACGACCACCACCACCACCACCACCACCACCCCCACCCACCACCCTACCACCTGCCATCTACCACCTACTAACTACTACATTTTTGATGAAATTTTCAGAAATGTCTGGGGCTCAGGGCCTATAAATTGCCTTATTATAGAACAATTTAAAACAATCATTTGACAAGCTCACCAAGGGAACCCCTCACAAGGGCCGGTCCCCCATCAATAATCTGCACTACTACCCCCTATTAATTTGATCCTGTATCCATGGCCTTTTCTTTGCGCTTGCTTCAACTTATTGTGACTACAACTACCCACTACTGCTGCTGCTGTTGCTTCTCCTACCGCTACTATTCTTGTTACTACTACTACTACTACTACCACCACCACCACCACCACCACTACTACTACAACCACCACTACCTACGACCTACGACCTACTACCGACGACGACTGCGACTACGATTGCTCCCTGAGCAGATTATTTAGGGGGAGGGGACCTCATGAATGGAATTTCAGACCTGCTAGACCTTCTAGACCTTCCACGTGGGGGTTATTAATCCGGTCTTCGCATTGTTGTTGTTGACCCAAGTGTGGGGTGTCACCCTGAAATTTTCAAGATCGAGGTAGGAAAGCAGGAGGCGAAAAGAAGATCCAGAACTATGGGTTGCTATGCAACTTTTGAAGGGAGGGAGGGGAATCACCCTCTTCGCGAGCCTTTCTTGCTTTTTGGGATTCATGTGTCACCTTGTTGGGGATAGATTCAAAAACCTGACCACGTCGCTTTCTGCGGGTGAACCTGAGTCTACGTTTTCACAAAATAGAGATTGCCAAAAGTGGATCGAAGAGTCTTCATCCCCTCATCCAAAATGTCTTGGAGACTCTGAATCCATCCATTTCTGGATCTCTTTTGAGGCCAACAAAAAACCTCAGACTGTGGACCACGACTGCTGCTGGCTGCAGGATTTACTACTCCCCGCCCCATCTGCCACCTTCATCTCCGAGTCTTCACCCACCCCACACACATAAACAAAAATAACGAAACGATTACGATAAACAAAATGTAACTAAATCGGAAAACAAGAAAAAATAGTGCCTGGAAGATGTCGTAGCCCTTTCCCGGCAACAGTTTGATGGACTTATCGCCCACCGCGGAGCCCATGTGGAAGGCGGCATAGACCTCGTGCCGCGTACGTTCGCCGGGCGAGCGGTTCTGACCCCGTGGCGTGTTTGGACCTTTCGCTTTGTTAGGTTGAGTTGAGAGGTCCAAAAGCACGGGGTCAAAAAAAGTATGAAACAGTGTCCATTATAATATGTCTTGCAGGCATTTTGATGTCTTGTTGTCACTTTTTCTGTCTTTTTCGGGATCGCTCTGCTCTTGGTGGGCCAGCTGCATCGCTTTGTTCTATACTTGGACAAGCCTGGCTGCTCATTGTCTTTCAAGGCTGTTGGTGAGGCCCCCAACTCTTTGCAGAAATGCTACTTGTGGCACACAACACACACTTGTGAGAGCGCTTGCGTGTGTATTGCGCCAACACAAGAATTGCCAGCAATGTCAGCACAGAAGCAGAAAAGCTTTTCATGGCCTTCACAAGTATCCGGATCGAAGTCCAAGACTCGCTAAAGACTCATAAGTGCAAGAGTTGCACCAAGTAGGCGGGGAAAAAAACCCATCAGTGACGAATCCACATAAGCCTGACCTGCTGTTCTGACTTGCTCCACAAATTCCTCCGATATTGTGCTCTGTATTTACCTCGCTACTGGCTGCATCACTTGAAATTTTAGAGGTTTGAAAGGGGTCCTTAAGCTATTCACTTCTTTTGGGCCTGCAAGACACATGCGTTGATCAAAAGAGATTGCCGCAACAAAGCACCATGCGATACAATGTGAAAGTCTCGAGACTCGATTGAAACGTAGAGGCTTCTGACAATCGCATGTGATTACGACATTCACTGACTGGATGTCGATGCGGTTAGACAATGTCCAGAGTGAATGGTCAAGGGGCACGCTTGCGAACATCTCGAATCAGCACCGAGAGCATTCAACCCGTGGCAGTATTCATGGTGGAACGTGGGGTCTCCTCATTCTTCACTTCAACATACATGCATGGAGTACCTCCACAAAATGTAACATTACATTCTTACGTCCCCCTGTAAACAAAGTGTAAAAAAATAAGGTACTGTAACACCTTTTGGTTAAAACAAAAACATACGAAGAGGTTGTACAATCGAAACGACAAAATGAAAAACCTTATTCACCAAGAGTCCACGCTAAGGAGCTACCGATGAAAGCACTTCGGTGTTCAAGCCCTTCTGTGAATCGGAAGCCCGCTTTTCTGGCTCTTCCAGGGTCCGACAAAACACGTCGACTGGCCGTCCGCCAGACTGTTCATGGCCGGTTGGTTCATCCAAGGGGGGTTCGGTCCCAAACAGCTTCTACAGAACCCCAGGATCGGCATGAAGGAAGGGGAGCGGTCGCTGAAACCAAAGCCCTACTAACACTGCTCTGGCGCCATCCGTTCTCAGATTTGTTGAAGTAAGTAGTCATGAGTCATGAAATGATAAACCCCCAAGCAAGCGGTCCATCAGCCACACCGAAGCCGCCTTTAAGGTGTTTGCGTTTCCGAGACCATCCATGCACGGAATAAAATAGTTATCCCGGTATACCCCCAAAAGGTAGTTTCCTGTACTTTGTTTTGTTAAATGTCTTTGGACTTTAAGGGTGCCTACATTACGGTCATACATGGGATGTATATAAATGTATGTATGTGTGAATATCTCACTCGGTTGATCCTGCTTTTGTTCATTTGTGACCCTTTAGGCACAAGGGTTTCGTTCAGCTGAAAAGGTCAGCGCGATTGCTCGCGTTTTGCGTTTTACCTGGTAGCGTTGAGCCATTTGCCGCGCGCCGTGCGCCGGCAGTGGTGCCGGGTTCTTTTTGGTGGTGTTCGTGACCACGGTCTTCTTTGTGGTTTTCCTGGGTGGCTTTTGGGGGCTTCCTTTATAGGGGTGGTGGCAATGCCTACTCCAGGCTGACCTCGACGCTGGACAAGGTGGTGGGCTACGATTTGATGAAGAAGAAGAAGAAGCAGAAGAAGAAGAAGGCTCACAGGCTTCGACAAGGTGATCCTCTGGACAGTGCAGGATGATCGACGCCCCGGAGGTGGACAAGACAAGATGCAAGTCCCGAATACTCTGGGGACCGTTTGCATGTCTGGCAGTGTAGCTGCAATGCGGCTTTCACCACTTCTTCTCTTAGCCAGCTTCCGGTGTCTGGATAGATCACGGTTGGACGGGTGACCCATGTTCTGATGGACTCTCCTCAATGCTAAGGCTCTAGGTTTGGAGACATTGGGCGGAAAAGAAATGCCTGCACTTCCCTCAATGTAGTGGGTGTCCAGGGTCTTCCCCACAAAGTTCCTTTCGTTGATCTGCCACGTAGGTAGCCCATGCTCTCTCCCGAAGTCCGCAGTGTACTGGCCTGCCGGCTTTGTATTCTGTCCCTCTGTTGGTGTATGATCGTGGTCTCCAGTACAAGGGCGGTCCAAGGCCTTCACGTAGTTCGCATCCGTGATGTTGACGGTACTAGGTTTCCTCAAAAGATCAGACTTTGCCCCTAAGTTGAAGCTGCACATGTCGAAGAAGACCTCCATGAAGCAAGGATCATCAAGCAGCGCTCTTATGTCAGGTTGGTCCCACAACGCTGAGCCCTTTGGATGCTCGAAAGCCACATGTCTCCCTTCGCGAATCTGTTTCTCCGCAACGTGGACCAGGAAGCGGATCATCTTCTTCTGCTTGGCTCTCAACCGTCGTAGTTTCTGCTTCTTGTCCTTTAATTTTAGGTGAGTCCATGGTCCCCACAACGTGCACGGGAAGGCAATCCACACCAGTTCCGGCTTGAAGGTGTCCGCATCATGCCATACGCCTGTTGAGCTTGGTCACCACTGAACAGCTCCGCCAAGACCACCCCACTTTCTGCCTCATCGGTCAAGGGCAGCCCGAGAACATGGTCAGAAGCCCAAGTGCAGAGTGGCTTGGTGGCCAGGTCGGTTTGCTCGCGAAGGCAAGCAGCATGGTCATGAGACATCCCAAATCCTGTGGGCCCAATTCTTGACCCGCTTTCGCGCGATTCTCCGCATCTTGTGTCCAGGGAGCTTCTTCACCCTGTCATCGGGGTAGAGTCGAGGAGGTTGACCTTGGGGACGCGGACCGTTTCCGTGTTATAGTCGTCAACGTCATCCTCCACATTGGACGAAGCCTCTTCCTTTTCCTGCTCATTCTCAAACGATGCCACCATAGATTTGAAGAGGTTCAATGGCTCCTCATAGATTCCTCTCCCTTGACCTCCGTCTTCACCTTCTTTGCCGCGATCTTCTCATTCAATTCTTTCCGGTATCTCCTGGCTTTCCTTTGGCGAGCTCCTCGTTCAACTTCTCCTGAAGGTCCTGGACCGTCTTCTCAAGCTTGTCGATCTTCTCCTTCTGCTCGTCCGCCGAATAGCCCACCATATAGAGAAGTTGTCCTCCTCGTCTGAGGTCGTCGCCCGAGTCCTCTTCCGGGGCGCTGTCTTCGTCTTTGCCTTCCCACTGGATGTCGCAGCTGCCTTCTGTAGGAGGGCAGGCTTGGGCAGAAGGGTTGCCACCGGAGGTGCCTTCTTGGCTACTTCCTCAGGGTCGCGATAGCCAGTCTTCGTGAACTTGTCCCGACTGCTTCCCCCTTCGGATCAGCCTCATGAGAAGTCCCGGTTGGCTTGCCGGAGTTGTCACTCCCAGCTCGTTGCACTTGGCGATGAGCTCCTCCAGCTTCATCCCTGACAGGCCCTTCAGATGCGAGTTGGCTGGGGTAGTTTGTCGCTGCTCCATCTGGGACTGTCCACTCCGAGCGCACAGGCACTCCCAGCTCCACCAGTGCCGTGGTCAATTCCGCCTTGTTCATCTTTCATGGCGAGGTCGAAGAGCTGGTCTGCATCCGAGGGAAGCTGGGCCGTAGGTGGCCGTCGAGGGACGCCGAGGTCTTGAGTCGTCTGTCAAAACGGCTCCGGCCAACCCACAAGTAATTGAACCTGCGTGGAGCCTCATCTGCCCAGCGAAACGAATGCGAAAGCAGAAGGCCGTTGGAGGTGCACGGTATGGTGATTGTTTCACCGTTCACGCAATGTTTTTCAACAAAAGGCCCTTCAACTCGTGGTTTGAAGTCTTCCATGCCCTGGGATCAAAGCAGAATTTGCGGGGAGTCACATGGACGCGGTAGAGATAGTGCGGCGTCTCGATCCAGAAGTCCCTAGAGTATTCCTTTGATCTCCACCATGGTGAAGAGGCTCATTCACAAGCATGTCATGTATGGAGTGTGAAATCTTCTTGGGAAAAACAACTAACTCCTCACGGCTGCTCGCCATATATGCCTCCTGCGCAGCAGGTACATAGACTTCAGTCAAGCTCCACTCAACGCGCTCCGGCCAAGTCATATGGGCTGGTCTGGTGCCAATCACAGAGACTTGAGGGTGGCCGGACACGCTGTTGATCAAACAAACCTGTTGCACATTCAAGTGTGCAAAGTTGGCCAGTCCCTTGGCGATGTCGTACTGCGTACCAAGTTCAGCCAAGGCTGGCCCGCTCAGCAAAAGTGGCACCTCTGCGGACACCACGCTGATCTTGATCAAAAACCATGCCTCCTTGATGGCGAGCCAAGTCACAACCGCAACCTTCGAGGGATAAAGCTTCTCCCCTCCAAACTTGAAGGTCTCGTTCTGCTTCAAGACGAAGTAGGAAACTCGATGTTCCTTCTGGTGAAGGCCTGCATCCAGCGCTTCCCAACCAGAGTCCGACTGCAGGCACACTTGCCCCTATATGCATGCGCTGGTCGACCAGGAAAGGGGCCTGATGAAGGATTTGCCGGAGGAGCTGGAAAAGCATGGGATAAGGGTGACATACACTGCTCATTGGCAGAATGGACAAGTAGAAAGACAAAACGCGCGGTTCCGGGTCATGTTCGATAGGGTCAAGGCCCATGTGCTGATGGAAGACAAGGAGACAGACTGGGTAATCGCCTCAGTCACAGAGGCAAAGAATCACCTTCGAAGAAGACATGGCTATACTCACCAGCACAATGGCTATTTGGAGTCAATCCCAGGCTGGGAATGGGTTTGGCCGATGGAGAAGATGAGACAGCTGAGAGACAGCAGATGATAAGCCACAGTGATGACTGGCAACGGAGGAGCAACATCCGACACGCTGCTAGGGAGGCCTATGTTAAACTCCAAGCTCATGAACGTCTTCAAGGAGCTCTTCACGGACAGCCACGAGTTCACCATGGTCACTTTGAACAGGGCCAGTACGTCTACATCTACCGGACTTCTAAAGTACCTGGCGGAGATGCGCTGTTTGCTTTGTGCCTACGAACACCTTCGTCTCGCTGAGTCGGAAGAGTTGGGAGCTACCCTTCAAGCTAAGGCCGTGAAGAGGGACCTCATCCGACTCATTGGGGCATGGAAAAGGATGATGAGGACGTCTTTGCCGATGCCACCGAGGAACCTCCACCGCCTTCTGAACCAGGGGAAGATCTACGAGAAGTCGACGACATGGAGGTAGACTCTGCGAGGGAGAAGAAAAGATCCGCCGAGCCAAAGCTCGTTCCGGCCAAGAGGATGAAGCAAAATTGCTGAAATACCCCGTGTCCCAGACGATGATGAGCTGCTTTGCTATGTGGCCTCAGACACGAGGGTGCCCCGGGCTCTACAGAAGCAAGCGGACAAGGAATTGAAGTGGTCTCAAATTGCGGCAGAAGAAGTTCACCTTTACAAGCAGGCAGGAGCCAAGCAATGGAGAGAACACTTAAAGTATGAAGCGGTGAAGATCCTGACCCCGGAGGAGGCCAGAAAAGTCCGAGCAAGGGTTCCACGGGATCGAATCCTGAAAGCACGCTTTGCATATCGTGACAAGAACTGTGCAAAGCGAAGGGAAGACTCCTCTACCCTGGCAAAGCCAACGCTCGGCTATGTGTTGGAGGACATCGTGACCCCGACCTTGCTGCTGGACATCTCAACACAGAGGCACCTACGGCAACCAAACCGGCAATAACCTGCCTGGTCTTCTTGACCATCCAATTTGGCTGGTCCTTAGCGGCAGGTGACATACAAGCAGCATTCCTGAATGGAGTTGAAGCCAGATGGGATCCCTTCCAAGGACTTGGAGGGAGTTGAAGAAGGTTCTCTCATCGAGATCGTGAAGGGGGTTTTTGGGTTGTCTACATCGCCAAGATTGTGGTGGGACAAGCTTGCAAAGACCTTATTGGAGGTCAGGGTGACCTACAACAACATGGAGCTGAAGCTGGTACAACACGAACTAGACAGCTGTTTGTTCCTATTACAGGATGAGAAGCTGGAACAGAAGCTGTCCAATGTCTTCCCCATCGACGCATGGGAAGACGCCTCGAATGGGCTGGAATATTGTGGAGCGAGCGTCAAACAGGAGAAAGAGAACATGGAGGACAAAGCGGACGAGGTGGCAAAGATGGATAACCAGTCCACCATCGGGGCGCTGTCAGAAGGACCCAACCTATGAGGACGTCAAGGCGACGAACTGGGTGGTGAGGATGGCACAACAAGCCAAGGGAGAAATGCTCAGCTACAGGAGGCTGGGCAACCTCGACGACATGGTCTTGCTCGTCTACCACGATGCGGCTTGGACAAATGCGGAAAGCCAGGAGAAGGGATGGTGGTGAGCTGGAAGTCACACGCCTGTCCGATGGCAGGGCTGGAGGGAGAGGGCACTCTTGATTCTTGATGGGCTGCTTCAAGAAGGGTGTCCAGGAGCCTTTGCCAATAGTCTCCCTGACTGGTTGCAAGAGTCTTTTTGACTCAGTCCACAGGGTCGGAGGACCCAGAGCACCGGCGGAGAAGCGCCTGATTGTGGACCTGGCGCGACTACCCCAGATGATCTATGAGGAGCAGGCGAGGTGGATTGGCACCAAGGGCTTTGAGGGTGGCAAGGCAATGAGGTGGTTGCCAACTGCTAAACAGATGGCTGACAACCTCACGAAGATCATCACGAAGAACGTCGAATGGTGGAGCCGCCTTAGCCATCTTGAGCCAGCAGGATCAAAGAACACAGAGTGAGTGTGAATATCTCACTCGGTTGATCCTGCTTTTGTTCATTTGTGACCCTTTAGGCACAAGGGTTTCGTTCAGCTGAAAAGGTCAGTGCGATTACTCGCGTTTAGCGTTTTACAGTATGTAAATTGTGTAACTATTCTAGTCTTGTGGATGGTCTGGGTTTGCTTGCACCATGTGAAGAAGAATGGCCCGACCAGCACCCGAGGTTCTCTGAAATGAGAACCTCCCAAAAAAGGACTTCAACAAGTCCTGGGCCTCTCTGACTGACCTGTCTGACTTGAGTCCTGGAACCCAGACCTTCACAGGAACCTGGTGATTGGTCGATCCCCGAACCCAAAGAACGACCTGGATTTATCCGGCAAAGGCCGCTGACCTGGGTGTTTGGTCCGATTTCTCCAATATCTCCAATCTGCTGATTCTTCGGGTTGGTTGCGGGGGCGAGGTGAACCAGGGGGCCGGACTCCGACGTCCCAAGTCCTCCACCGGAAACACCGAAGGTCTTCGTTCGAGGAAAACTCCGACTGGACCGAGTTCGGTCCTCGTTTCGACCCGCCTGGACCGAGTTCGGTCCACCGTTCGACCTTGGCTTTGTCCCAGTCCTTTGTGGCATCCCCAAAACCAGGGGCCGTAAAGCCCCGGAGCTCGGCTCGTGCTTGGGACCCGACCCAAAACCGAACGAACGAACGGAACACCTCCGGCCCAAAGGCAGCCGAGTCACCAGAAACGTCCACCCCTCCGCGGGCAGGACCACGAGATCGTGGTCAGTGGGTCTCCAAAGAAAGGGAAGTCCAAAAGAATCCGGACCCTCCCAACCTCCAGCAGATCCCTCAGCAGAACCTATGCTCGCCGCCCTCGCACGGTTTCACTCCAGGCCACCAAGGCGGCCAGGAGTGCAGCCACCACCTGTGCCAGCATGTACTTCGCCGCCTCGCCGCGCGTCACCTTGCCGCCACCGCCCAGCACGGCCAGCGTGACCTGACGGCGCTGACGGCGCGCTCGTTTCGACAGAGGGCAGACGTCTTATATCGAAGCGTGTTTTGTTGGCTAGTTACTATACCTTCTTGGCAATATATTATGCATGCACAGCAATGCACAGTATTAAATTCTATAGTCATATATAGGCATATTGTATATGATCCCTTAGAAGCCCAGTTCGACTATACTTGGCACCCACCAAAGGAAGCTCCATTCTGACATCGGCTCACCGCTCCATTCTGAAAGCGGAATCGTTCCAAGACTTTCTCCATGGCCGTTTCAGACGAACCAAGAAAAACCCATGGCACCACTTTCTCCCAGGTCTTCAGGCCTTCACGATCCCCAACAAAAAGAACGGCCACGGCCACTTTCTCCACGGCCACTCCGGTAAAGCTCCATATCCTGTTTCTCCGTCCCGTCCTCCATCATCCTCCCCACCCCAACCCCCGAAGACGTAAACGCACCGAAGAGGCCGCGGGATTGAAGTGGCCCCCCTGACAGGTCGCCCAGCGAGTAGATCCTGGTGGCTCGAGACGAGACGAGCGAAAGCGGGGCGAGCTGACGAGCGAGACGAGCGAGACGAGCGGACGGGTGGACAGGTGGACAGGTGGACAGGTCGCGGTTTTGAGGTGGGGTGCAGATGGAGAGACAGGTGTGTCTTGGAGATGGCTGTGAAGTGTCGAAAGTCCAGGGAGACCCCCGAAACTCTCGCCCCGAGAACGCCTGGGTGTTTTCCGGTCTATGAAGCTCCCGAAGACTCGCGGCCGCGGCGATGAGTTTCTGCCGGGGAGGGGAGGTCGGTCGCCCGAAGACTGAGCTACACCATGATCCAGTCGCAGAGCTCGGGGTGTTAGTCCCATCCAATGAGCGGATGTGAGAAGGGGGCATCCCCAAGCTCCATGGATAGCACCCAACTTGGAACTGGTCTGACCAGCTCAGAAGGCGGTCAGTTACCGCATCAGTTACCGGTGTTCTTTCGTTTCAGAGACCTGCACCGGGCAGGTCTAACACCATGGACCTCCCAAGCAACACCAGTGAGACCGGTCGGTTTTTAGAAGGAAAGCCCTTGGAAACCACCCGCCTGGTGCGTCGTGCGTCGTTCGCGGTCCAACAGCTTTTCGGTCCAAACACGGCGAGCGTGGTGATGCAGGACATCCTCTGCGATGGTAGGGAAGACCATATTAAAGAAAAAGAAGTCCTGAAAATGAAGAGAATTGCATAAAACAAGTTCTGCAGTTTCACTATACTGGGTAAGCTTAGCAATCTCGTACGTCCTGCTGTTCATCAGTGATGACCAACTTTGAGAGTTCGGAGAGCTCTGTCGTCACGACCTAGTGGGAGGCCGATAAAGACGCCCTGCTAGGCTGGGCCTTGACATCCTTCTCGTTTTGATCCACTAAAGCCTCCCCCGCTTGCTTCAAAATGAAAAAACCACCTCCATCCAGCTGCACGCCAAGCATCATGCACATGAGCACCGCACTGGCCGAGTAGGCTGTGGCTCGGGAGCCACTGATGATGTTCAGCCCGAAGGTGGTCATCAACACAAAGGTACCCAGTGCTTCCTCAGACCCGCCGAACTGTCCCGTCCGGGCGAAAAAACGCGGTCTGGGCGGTGAGTGAAAACACCCGGTCGGTCGGGGGGGGAGCGGGAGGATCCGGGGCTTCCGGGACCCGAACCAAACCCTACCTGGACGCTCGCTCCAGTCATGGTGGCTGAAATGCAGACTTGAGGTCGTCGCAGTCGTGGTGACCCACGTCTCGGGTGCCAATTTTAGGCACGGCCATAGGTCTGTCATAGGTCTGGTTGGAAGCCCAAAAGATCGTCCCTGTTGGTTTTGGGGTTCCCAAAAAGGGGAGTCCAAGACCGGTATTACAAACCAGAAGTCACAAAGGGGTGGTGTTTGATCCCCAAGTGAGTGGATAATGGGCACCCCTAACCTCCATTAAGCACCCCTTTGTGACTGCTGGAATGAGTCTTCTATTTGATCCGAGTCTAGGAATGGCCGGAATCCTTTGCGTTCGTCCCCCAACAAATGACCTCTAGTTCACTAGACACCTATAGTGTTTTTGGACCGCACATGTGCACAAGAAGACCGGGGGAAGTTCAAAAAGTTGAACCCCTCTCCCGCTCCCCTGCGATGTCAGAGGGGGTATGTAGGGCAATTCAGGCCTGGTCGTGACCTCTATTTTGCACCAAGCACCCCTGAAGATGGTCAAACGTCCTATCAACCAAACAGAGTGTCACTTTTTTGTCGTCACCGTCACCCTGGAGCTTCGGATGACCAGAACATCTGCCAGAAAAGTGAACTCGACATACTAGGACCCACGGTCGGGGTGGTTCATGGACACCCCGGATCACCTCTTTTCGGGGCTATCAAGTTCGACACCCCTGGCCTGGGTGTCTTGGTAGTTATGTTATGTTCCAAAACCAAGACCCCGGTTTCAGGCGTCTCGGATGGTTGCGGTTTCTATATATAGCCCTCTATTAAACAAAGAGGTTTCCAGGGTGTCCATTCACCACCCCTGGGTAAACCCAGGGTCCTCGCCGCGAACACACGCCACGCCTTCCAACCGTCCGGGGAGACGGTGAGCCGAACGAAGTCCAAACACACCTTCCAAAACACCCTGAGGATAACTCTGAGAAGCTGTTTTCAACCAACCAACCAACCAACCAACCGCTGTTTTCAGAAGAACATGCCAACCCCACCCTACTCCTTGATCGCCCAGACTCGCCCAAAAGTCACCCAAAAGTCACCCAAAAGTCTTCTCCCTTTTCCGCCCTTGTCGCCGCCCACCCCACTTCCCATGTTCGGCCCAGACTCCGCCGCGCACTTGTGCTTCCACCCCACCGCTGGGCCGGCCCCGTCGGGAGGCACCTCCGCCGCGCCTGTGTCCCCCTCCACCGGTGCGGAGCTCGATTCCGTTCCGTCGGTGGACAACCTCAGTGGCTGGACGGATGCCCCACACGGATCCGATAGGCTTCCAAAACACGGCACCCCGATGGTCGGATGGTCCGGGTAGGAACATAAACCTGTTGAGTTGAGATTCTGGCGACGATTCGCCAGGCCGAGTCCTATAGTCTTTCCTATTAGACATTGTCTACGGTAATGATGGCTTTGGGGATGTGTTGGGGATGGTTTTGGGTCTTTGGGTCGTTGGCAGACTGGTGCGTGGAATGACCCATAGGCACGGCACAAATGGATTCAACGTTCAAGGGAGTGTTCATGAGTTTTCGTAGAGAGTTTTCGAGGGTCAGATGGCAAAGTTCAACTTGAAACCCAGAGGGTTTTGAAGGTGAAGAACATGAAGAACACCAAAGAACAAACAAAAAAAAAGGAAAAGATGCAGCACCCGAAGTTCACCCCGCTGGAGAGTCATGGCCCTATTTTCATGTCCACCGAAACACCTCGTACCACCGTGCAGGTGCTGGTCACCATGGCGAAGTGTTTCCGTTGAGCACCGATGACTTGGTCGCTCGTTTGGGGTGAACCGAGCTGCCGAACGTGAATCAAGAGATCTTCAATCCGAAGACTTGGAGGCTCGTGATGGGTAGTAGTCAATAGCTTCTGAGGGGCAGGACCTTGCTAAAGCAGCATGGTAAAGGTCTCCTAGCCTTTAGTGACCTTAGTGAAGCCTTAGTGCGAGGGTTCTAGGAAGAAGCAGCAACCATGGAACCGGCAACGGTTGCGAATGGCAGGCAGCGATTGGCAAAAACAACATGTGTTTGGGGACTAGACATCCGATCAGTACCTGGCAGCCTGGCAAACAAAAAGATTTGTTTGGAATCTACGTATACGTCTATACCGCGTACGGCGTATCTAGAAAACACAAAAATCGACAAAATTAATTACTTATTGGTTTGTTGATTAATTCATTCACAGGCTTGTGTTGCTTCTTCTCCTCAATGCATCCTTCTTCACCTCCTTCCCTTCCGACGCCGGGAACGGTCGCAGGTCTCTTCCGTCCTCCTCCTAACTGCCGCCGCAGCCACTCCGAGCGTCGCAGCAGCCAGAAGAGCCCGGTGGCCGCGCCGCTGCCGGCGAGCTCCGCGCCGAACCAGGCGAAGGCCCAGTGATGATCCTGGCCGCTGCCGCGGTCGAGGGCGTTATACGATCGTGGGGAGGTCGGCAGGTCGTGGTTCAGGTCGGTGAGGATTCAGAAGTGGCCCAGCGCAGGGATTCAGAAGCCAGATGGGGTGCCAAGACAAGTAATTACGGGTGGAAGAAAGGGTGCAAAACCGAAGGTGAATGAAGATGCTGTGGTTGCTAAATGTGTGAGCTGGATCTACTTGCTCTCCGAACTTTTTGCGAAAAGTCGAAAAAGTCGAAAAGTGCACGAAAAGGGAACGATGATAAAAAGAGTCACCTGCCAAAAGGTCCCGGGGCTTGCCAGGTCCTTTTGGCGGGCGTCTCTTTTTGAAGGTCATCGGGGCTGCGTGTTTTGACCTCCAGATCCTCTCTCCGTGTGTAGGAGCAAAAGCATTCTGCTAGACTTTTGTTGAAGGGCACGGCATGTGACTGGTGTCCAAAAATCTCGAAAAGTCGAAAAGTCTCGAAATGTTAGAAAAGTCGAAAAGTCAAAAAGTCTCGAAAAGTCGAAAAGTCTCGCTGGCTGCGTGCTTTCGTTTCCTTTACCTTTTTGACTTTTTTCACTTTTTGACTTTTCTCACTTCTTGACGCTTTGACTGTTCTCACTTTTTGACTTTTTGCGTTTTGCTTGGTGTCTTGCAAATAGATCGTCGCTAAAGGGTTTTGCGAGCTTAGTGAAGATGCCCCTGCTGCAACTTGGAAGGGTAGGGTGAATGAAGGATTGCAAAGCTGCCAAAGGCGGACATGCCAACAAAAATAAGGAACAGTCAAATGGCTGTGGGGCTGTGGGATCCAAAACATCAGGCATTCTGTGAAAAGGAGGGGTCTATATTGACTCATGATCTTTTGGGGTGCAAAGCA